TGAATTTGACCTTAAGAATCATGTGCAAGTATGTAACCATTTAAGAATTTTTTTCTTTTAATATCTAAATATTGCCCAATTACTCAGAAAGGTTTTCTCCTTTGAGACAAACTTTTGGTTTGCATAAGTGAAACCTTATAGAAAGTATATTTTAGAATTTCTGAATTGGAAACATATTAAGAATGAAGTTTGAACTGCCATGCTGATCTTCAAGCAAGCCTCTAAAATCTCCACCCAGTTTCAGCATCAGCTATACTTTTTTTAGTGTAAGTACCACCATTCAAGATTAATGTAATAAAACAAAGTAGGTATCATTGTCTTCTACTGAAAACTGCATGATATATTAATTCAAATAATACTTCATGAAAAAGTTTACATATAAAAATATATTCTCAGTGATAAACTAACCAGTTTTTCTTTATCCACTACCATTTCCACCTGTGAGATGGGCAATTCCTCCTCAGAGATGTAGAAATATTAAATTGTTGCTCTAAATTTTGTAGAGGAAGGATCATCATCAGTATAAGGTCAAAGACAGAGCCAGTAAAATAGGAAGTTAAAAATGCAGTACACAAAATCATCTCATGGTCACACACAGAACAGTCAGACACAAAAAGTCAAGACTAGTTTAAAGGGGGAAAGCCAAATTATTATTACTTTAAAATTTAATTATAACTGATTTTGTTGGCCTTAAAATTAGAGGCATCTTAAATTTGAATAATGCATATGTACCAAAAACAAGAAATTAAATTTGGTAGAAATAGGGAGAGGAGTTTTTCCAGTAATTATAGATTGGAAGGTAGAAATCAATTTAAATAAAGACAGACTCCATTGTTTACAATGATTGTGCCACAGACTTAATCTTCAGTAGTGCATTGGTAAACTATTCACGTTTAGATCTTCACCTTGAGCTCTGACAGCTGTTTCTTGGTAAACTCTCAGTACCTTGGGCAAATAAACTGGTTTTCCATGTGCTTTAGCACCCTTAAAATTTCTCCATTATCTATAGAAAATATATATTATAACATATAACATTTTATATATGCATATATATACACAAATCACCTGCCATGTGGGCAGGGCAAAATACATACTTTCATAACAGAACTATAATGTACTTCTCAAGTATGAATAATATATACATAATATATGGTATACAGTATTTACAAAATACAAAATATAATGCAAGCTGTTTATATATAGCTTTTTAAACTCATCTTTTGTACTTTTACACTGCAACAAGGCAGCTTTCCAGATCTGCACCAACTTCCAAGAGTCCAGGGCGTTGGGAAAAACTATGTTTTACATATGTATTGAAATCTGAAATCTTAAGTTTGAATTTCAGCAGTGTTTTCAAGTGCATGGCCATCAGCTCCCCATTTTGGTTGGAATTTTCAACAGGGCTTCCCATCCAGTGACTAGGAGGCTCTGGAAGAACAGTAGGAGATGGTGGATCACTAAATTTCATGCCAGCATAATTTTACTTTTGGCTCACTTCAGTTAGAAATGCTGATTTCTTCAAATGCATGTTTTTAATATTCTCTGTATTTTTAAAAGGCTTTTTTTCCTGCTTCTGAATTCTATCAGATGAAACAGAGTCCTGCTGTAAGTTACTTTCATTTCTTTTTTTGGCAGGAGTGATCTTGGTTACTGGCAACTTAGGTTTGCTTTTCTGTCTGTTTAATTTTGGTTGTTCCCTCACGTGTATACCATTAACAAGCTGGCGGTGGGAAAGGGTAACTCTCTGATTTTCCCATCTTTGATTTTTTTTTTTGACAGGCAGAGTGGACAGTGAGAGAGAGAGACACAGAGAGAAAGGTCTTCCCTTTGCCGTTGGTTCACAATCCAATGGCTGCTGCGGCCGGCATGCTGCGGCCAGCACACCGTGCTGATCTGATGGCAGGAGCCAGGTGCTTATCCTGGTCTCCCATGGGGTGCTGGGCCCAAGCACTTGGGCCTTCCTCCACTGCATTCCCTGGGCAGCAGAGAGTTGGCTTGGAAGAGGGGCAACCGGGACAGAATCCGGTGCCCCGACCGGGACTAGAACCCAGTGTGCCAGTGCTGCAAGGCAAAGATTAGCCTATTGAGCCACGGTGCCGGCCCCATCTTTGATTTTAAAACCTCTTCTCTGAGCAGCAGTTGGCCAGGTGCTGCGGGTCACAGTGGCCCAGGGACCAGGTTCGCTCCCTCAGTTGGCTTGCCGTCCCAGGAGCCAGGCACAAGACAGTGGCCTGGCCTGGGATCTCCTGCACCCTATGTCCTGCCACCCGGCTGGGCCACCCTCCAGCATGTCGGTGCTGCGATACTGGTGGAAGCGGCCAGACAGCTGACCAGCCAGGCTGACCCATACTTGTTTCACCACTTCTTCTGTACCGCCTGAAGGGTGCCTCCCCCATCATGGGGTGAAGGTGCCTCCCCCATTGCAGGGCTGCAGTTAGGCAGAGCTACTGGAGCGCGAGGTTGGGGGATCACACAGGAGCTGTCTCCCCCTAGGAAGTGAGGGAGGAAGAGGGTCAAGGTCAGCACCCGGGAGTCCAGGATCCAGGGTAAAGGCAGCGGAGCTGTGGTCACCATCAGGAGGGTCCTGGAGTAACCACTAGCAGAAAAGCCAAGCAGCGCAACCAGGCCATCCAGGATGAAGGGCTCCTGCTGCTGGACAGAGACAAAGGTCAGAGTGCTAGGAAGCAAGTGGCTCAGCAAGAAGAGGAAGAAGAGGGGGAGGAAGTGAAGCCAGTGTGATTCCAGGGCGGCGGTGGTGGCTTCTGCTGCGAGAGCCAGAAAGAAGCGCAGACCACGGGGACGGTGGCAGAGCAGCAACAGTGATTCATGTCTGACCACAAAGGAATAAGATTCTTCTGTTTGGATAATTCCACAAAAACATGGCCTGTAACCAACACACTGTGAAATGAACAACAGATCACTGAAGAAACCAGAAGTTAAGTCTAAAACTATCTTGAAATAAACAAACAATATTGGAGACACAAAATCTCAAATCTTGGGAACACAGCAAAAGCAATAATAACAAATTTATAGTAAGAAGCAACTAGATTTCTAAAAGCAAAATTTTCAAATAAACAACCTAACAAAGCATCTCAAAAACCCTGAAAAGAACAAAACAAAAATTAGTAAAAGAATAGAAATATCCATGATAGAAAAATAACAAATGAAATAGAGTCTAAAAAATACAAATTTCCAGTGAAATGAAGAATTGTTTTCTTGAAAATATCAAGAAACACAACAAACTTGTGGCTGGAATGACCAAGATAAGAAAAGAAGAATGCAGGCCAGTGCGGGTCTGGGGTGTCTGGGACTGTGGGCCTGGTGGAGATGAACCCTGCAGCATGGGGTGGGGTCTGGGCCTGCTCGGTGCCAGGCTGCGCCCCCGCCTTCCTCACCCACTCTGACACCTTCTCTGAGCCTCATCCAACCCACGAATGGGGCCTGCCAGCGGGAGAGAGAGGACAAGACCCAGGCGAGGGCTCCCCAGCAGGACGGGGAGGAAGCGGCTGGGTATGGGTCCCTTCATTCCTTCATTTGATCATTCATCCGTCCTTTCCTGGAGCTCCCTGGGGTCAGTCACCAAGGCCATCACAGCCCCTGCCTTCGTGGGTCAGACGCCAAGCGCTGAGGGGGAGGCCGGGATGGGGGAGGGGGAGGGGGGACATGACTCCCAGCAGACTGAGGTGGGTACGGAGGAGCTGGGCTGGGAGGGCCGTTCCTGGGGTCTGGTGACCAGGTGAGGGGGCGGCTGCTGAGAGCTGGGAGTCGGGGTGGGGGTGGCTGTTGAGAGCTGCTAGTTGAGGTGGTGGTGGTGTCCGACGCCTGCTTTAGGGGGCTCTTTCTGGACACTAGAAGTCAAGGTGGAGGTGGGAAGCCACGTCAGTCACGGCACGGTGGCTCATGGCTTGTGCTGCGGCCAGGCTGGTGGCCGGCGTGGCCAGGGTCCAGGGATGACTCTGTGTAGCTGAGGCTGGGGTGTGTTGAGGGGGGAGCAGCTGCCTCTGCTATGGGCCCCACTCTTCCCAGGCCCTGCCCTGGAGGGGGCACCCATCACCTGGCCACATGTGGTGCAGATACTCGGCTGCCCAGAGGCCCTGGGTCTCAAACCAGGAGAGCAGACAGCTGGCTGAGTGTGGCCTCACCCTGTGCCCTGCTGGAGGAAATCAGAGACGAGTGCAGCCTCCACCCCAGCTCCTCTTGGCCAGAGCCCAGGGACAACAAGGGCAGGGGGCAGGGGAATGACTGCGGCTCTGAGGCCTCGGGACTTCTCCCATGGGGCCTGGATGGGGTGAGGGTTTACAGGCCTGGATGGGGTGAGGAAGCTGTGAAATCAGTGGCCTTGGCAGAGATGGAGGCGGGGAGACCAGGACTGAGGACGTGCCTGGCTGGGCCCAGCCAATCCCTCCTGGAAAGGCCCAGGAACTCAGCCACAGTGAGGGAGCAGAGACCTGGCCATTGGGGGACTGAGGAATGTTCTTGGCTTCCTCTGGGCCTGTTGCACTGTGTCTTGTTTTCTGGGAAACAAATGCAGGGTTCCAAGCCCCTTCCCGCATGCACGGAGGCTGGTGTGTGTCAGCAGGCCCTCAAGGCCACAGAGCCCCCTGCGGCAACCCCAGCCCCTGGTGCCCCCACAAGTGCCCTTGACCGTGACCTAGGCCTGGTGCTGCCCTGCCCTGTGGCTCCTCCTGCTGCTGGCTCAGGCCCGGTGGGAGGTGGAGGTGGTAGCTGCCACTCCCGGGTCCTGGACTGATGGAGCCCCCGGTCCTGCCCCCTGAGTGGCCTCTCAGGAGTTCTTCATGCCCATGCCCCAAGGGTCCTACCCAGGATCCTCTGGGCCTCCTGGTCCGCCACTGTCTCTGCCTTACTTTCCCTGGACTTCTGACCCCTACCTAGCCTTGGGTCTCCCAGCTGGGCTTGAAGTCCCTCATGACCCCTTCACCCCAGCCGCACCCTGCACCAGCTTGGCTCCAAGCTGGAAGCCCTTCCTTCCATGACCATGCCTGCCTCTGCCCCGTGGCCATGCCTGCCTCTCCTCGGACATGGTCTCTCCTGCCCCGTGGTCTTTGCCCTCCCTAGCACCACCTGCCCAGGCCGCTTGGAGCTTCTTTCTAGCCGGGGGCTGCCTCTGTGCCTGCCTAGGGGACAGAGGGCCCAAGTGCTGACGCCACCTCCAGGAACTCCTGGGCCCTCAATGGGGTGGCTGAGCACAGGAGAGCCTGGGGTGAGGGAGAAACAGCACAGCACAGCCCGAGACCACCGCCCACTCATGGCTGACCAGTGGCCAGTTGCTCCTATGGCCACCACGGTGGGAGGGCCTGATCAAGGGTGGCCCTGGAAACCCAGAGCAGGTGAGGCTCCCCTGGCCCTCTCCTGGTGACCTGCTCTGCCCTGGAGACCCCAGCTGGGAGTGGGCTGTTGGTGCCCAGTCTTCCCAAAGCCTGGGGGTCTCCTGGCCTCCCTGAGTGTTAACAGCTCAGCCCCATGAATGCCTATGGCTCCAAGGGCTCCCGGCTGCCTGGCATCCCTGGAAGGCAGCGACTCTGAGGCTGATGGGGTGGGGCAGTGGGCCGAGGGCAGAGGGCTACTGCAGCGTGTGATGCCACAGGGTGACCACACATGGTTTCTGTCCCAGCCCACAGAACACCCAGCGCCAGGGCGACCTGTGTGCCCCCAGGACCACCCCACTGCCCGATGCTGGCACAGAGGAGGAAGAGACACAAGGAGCGCTCTGTCTTTCTGTTCAGGTTTTTCCATAGACCCCCAGGCTGTGCTAAAATAAACCCCTTCTCTGAAAAAAAAAAAAAGAAGAATGCAAAAAAATAATGTCAGAGATACAAAAGAATCTTGCAAAACTGATACCATAGAAAAACAAAGGACTATTAGGAACTATCATAAATAACTATAGAACATGGAAAACCTAAGATAAATAAATATATTTATTGACACATATAATATATCAAAATTGTACCATGAACAAATGGAATACTGGAGTGCACTAATGACTAGTAATAAAATTGAATCAGTAAATCAAACTTCCCAATGAATAAAAACCTAGGACTAGATGGTTTTGCTGCTGAATTCCACTAAAATTTTAGTGAATCGTCTTCTCAAACTTTTCCAAAAAGCAAGAATCCCCCTAAATCTATCTGAAGAGGTAATGTTACCCTAATACCAAAACCAGATAGGGAAACAACAACCAAAAAGGAAACTATAAACCAATGTGCAAAAATCTAAACAAGATATTAGCACATAGAGTATAACAGCACATTAAATTCTCTTCCACCATGATCATGGAAAATTTTTCCAAGAAATGCAAGGATTATTCAACATATAAAATTCAGGAGGTGTAATGCATCAGAATAAAAGAATGAAAGATGAAAATCTTTCATAATCATTTCAATGGATGCAGAAAAAGCATCTGATAGTATTCTACCCCATTCATTAGCAAAATCTCAAAGAAATTAAATATGAGAGGATCAATATAATAAATGCTAAACAAGTCTTGACATACCACAATAGATATCATGCTAAATTGGAAAACACTGAAGATATTTTTTAACTATCTAGCACAAAAGAAGAATATATACTCTCATTGTTCTTAAAAATGTAGTGGAAATCTTAGCCAGAGAAATTAGGAAAAAATAAAAAAAGAGTTAAAAGACTGTATAAGTAGCAAAGAAATAACTCAAAATTTCCCTGTTTGCAGAAGATATGTTTCTGTCTATAGAAAGACCTACAAACTCCACCAAGAGACTATAAGACTTGGCAAGAAATACAATAAAGTTACATGACACAAATTCAAGATACAAAAAGTAGTAGCATTTTGTATACCAATAACAAACTTGTTGATAAAGAAATCATAGAAGTAGTATCATCCATAATAGCTGCTACAAAACAAAATGTTTAGTAATCAATTTAACCAAAGTTATTAATAAACTCTACAGGGAAAATTTCAAAATGTTGATGAAAAAAATCAAAGAAAAAAGAGATATGTCTCCCATGTTCAAGAATTGGAGAGTTTATATTATTAAAAGGTTAACACCACCTAGAGTTAACATACACAATCAATCCCATCTCTGTCAAAATAACAATAGAATTCTTTACATAATGAGAAGAAGCACTTCCTAAAATTCATATGTAAACACACAGGACCCTTAATAGACAAAACAATCTTGAGGAAAAAGAAAACCTCTGGCCGCATCCCTAATTTCCTAATGCATAACTTCAAAAAATACACACAAACATTTGCATATGTTTCTGCAGAACTATGTTTTTTATTACATGTACTCATTATTTAGTAGAGCATTAAGCCTTTGATTATAATGTAAATTTAAAATGTGAACTCAAAAATGCACATAGCTATCATGATGAAAACAGCATGTTTCTGGCATAAAAAGCAAACACATATAACAATGGAATGGGATAGAGATCTGAGAAATAAATACCCAAGTCTATAGCCAAGTAATAAATAGCAGGACTCCCATTAGCAAACACATACTTAGCATTTATTTGGCACCTACTACAGTCCTATTGTCTGCATTTTACAGGGCAGAAAACGGAGGCCCATAGAGGGGAGGAAACACTCTCAGAATTGTTTGCCACTCAGCCTGATGACAAAGCTGTCAATCAGGCTCTCTGCCTAGGCCGGCAATGGGGAAAGGAGATAACTAATTGGAAGGAACTCTTGTCCCAGCATTGCCACCTGTGACTTCAGGCACTCTCCCCTGCTCTATCTGAGCATCTGGTTTCTGTTTTTTCAAAAAGATATATTTAGTTTATTAAGGCAGAGTAACAGAGGGGGCGGGGGCACAGACAGAGAGATCTTCCATTGGCTGCTTTATTCCCCAGTTGCCTGCAGCAGCTGGGGCTTGGGCAGGCTGAAATCAGGAGCCTAGAACTCCACTGGATCTTCCATTGGATGCAAACACTTGGGTCATCATCCACTGCTTTCTGAGGTGCATTAGCAGGGAGCTGGACCAGAAGTGAAGACACCAGGACCAGAACCAGATGATCATGTGCTGTCTATACAAGGGGAGCACAGCACTGCTTACCCCTGAGGTCATGGTGAGACTCTGAAGACAATTTAACAGCACAGAGTTCAGTACAAGCAACCACTGCTATCTACTCCACCTGCTATATGCATGCAAAGCCTAACATGACTGGAGCTGTTCCCTCCAAAGGTCTTGTAAGTACTTAGAGCCCTGGAGAAGGAGGACATTGCCAGGGGAGAGGGATGGGGAAGCTGCTTTCACTTGGTGGGAGGTGCCACGGATAGACCAGCAGGGTGAGGAGGGGCCCTGGGGCTTCCTGGGAGGCCTCTGACTTCCAGCAGAGAGCAGAGTGAGGGGGTGGCAGCCCTTCTTACCAAACATTGGAGAGAGAAATTCTGTTCAGTTCCAGAGATGCCCTGAAAGGGGTCTGAGATGCCCTGAAAGGGTTCATGGGCAAACAGGCATCACTAGAATCATCCACACATTCATCCACCCACACATCTATTCATCACCCATCCAACTAACACCTATGCATCCATTCATCCATCCACCCATCCTTTCATCCACACACCCAGCCTTCTTTTCACCCATCCCTCCATCTATCCATCCATTCACACACATATCCATCTATCCTTCCATCCACATGTTCAACACAGACACTTGTTTGTCCATCTCGTAGATTCATTTCCTAGGCCTGTATGTCCCAGCAGTAGGTTGTGAAATCTAGTTAGGGGGTTGATCAGTATTTTTTAACAATATATACTTAAGCCTCAGGCACAGTGACAGAGAAAGGCAGAGAGAAATCTTCCATCCTTTGTTTACCCCTCCAAACGCTCCCAACAGCCTGGGCCAGGCTGAAAACAAGAGCCTGGAACTCCAGCTGGGTCTCCCATAGGCATCCAGGGCTCTCCTATGGGTGCAGGAACCCAAGCACTTAGGGTCATCTTCCATTGCTTCCCAGGCACTTCAGCAGTAAGCGGGAGAGGAAGTAGAACTGGCCCTCACATAGGAGATGCTAAAGATGCAAAAAGCAGCTTAAACCCACGCTGTGCCACAAATGCCAGCCCCAGCAATTTTATTTAAAAATCAAACATACCAGAAGAGAAAACACCAGAAGCCAGCAGACACAGCAGATATGTATTTCTCTAACTTTTGATTCTGTTTTAGAAATAGGCAGTGTGAACAGTACTGTGACACAAACATGCTTCTTCCTAGAGGCCATGGACAGGACCACGGCCAAGGCTGCCGGATCTAAAGGCCAGTGGGAGAACAAGCATTGTGGAGCAAGGAGGGGGACAGTGGAGGATGGTCACAGTGTGAGACCTCCCTGGACACACTCGTGAGAATTCTGGGTTCAGGGCTGCACAGTCCCCAGAATGGCCCAGCCCATGTCTGTGCATCACTGAAAGGCCACTTCCCCTTGTTCCCAGGGCCCACAAACACGCTCTCAGCGGTGGACGGGAGAGCAGTCAGACATTAGAGACCTCCTTTCCAGCTTCCAGACCTGAGCCCAGGAGATGACTTGAAACACAGCTGCAGGGTCTGTTAAGAAGGGCCCCACTCAGTCTGTGGTGAGCACTGACCCCCACCCACCCATCCAAGGTGAGCTTGACCCTGAGGTGCACTGGATAACAGAGTTGGTGGTGGCAGGACAAGGAGCAGAGCAGCCCCTCCTTCCCTGGCATGGGTGCCTCCACATCAGAGCCCTTGGCAGCAAACAAAAACAACTGAGACAATAAAAATGAAGGAAGAATGTTTCTCTAGCCTCTGCGCACCCATGCCACCATTGTTCCCAGCCCTCAGCACAAGGCCTCAGGCAGCCTTGGGTCCTATGCTGACATGGCAGCCGTCATGCCTGGTCATTGATGGGGATCAGGGCATGGTGACTCACTCAAGAAAGAGGTGGGCCACAGTGCCCCCCTCTCCCGCCAGCACTCCACCACAGCCTGCTCAGCTCACTTCTCACCCTCGCTGCTCAACTCACCTCTCATAGCCCATCTGCAGGAGGGGGCAAGGCGGGGACCAGACACTGGACTTGTACCTACAGGAACTGTCTGGTGTCTGCAGGTGCCAAGAGGAGATGCAAGAGAGCAAGTTGCTGAGCAGGCCTCCTGGCTTTGCTGGCTAGAAGCCCTGAACACTGGGCAGACTATGTGTTCCCCGACAGCACCCCTCCCTGGCAGTCTGCATGCTACCACGCACCCCTTGCAAGCAGGTTGGCCCAAGGAGGAGGCCAGGGCCATGGAATCCCAAGGCCATCTTGGAGGACTCTCCCATTCCATCTTAGTCCCTGAGGCATAAGTTAGAGATGAGGGTTGTCTCCTTGGGCAGAGGACTTATAAGTTCTGGTGGCCTGCTCTGGGGCCTGGTGCATAAAGCTACAGCCTACCATCTAGCATCCATATGGGCGACAGTTCAAGTCCCAGCTGCTACATTTTGGATTCAGCTTTCTGCTGTAGTCTGGGAAAACAAGAGTGATGGCCCAAATCCTTGGACCCCTGCACTCCTGTGGAAGATCTGAAAAAATCTCCTGGCTCTGAGCTTCAGATTGACCCAGCTCTGGCCATTGAGGCCATTTGGGGAGTGAACCAATGGATGGAAGACCTCTCTCTCTCTCTCTCTTCTCTCTCTCTCTCTCACTGTCTACAACTCTACCTGTCAACATAAAAAATAAAAAATAAATTAAAAAATAAAAAATAAAAAAAGTAAGTATCATTGTTACAGAAATCACCTGATAGCAAAACACTTTTAATTAATAAAATCAACCCACTGGTCTCAAACTGTTTTTCTTGTGTGAGAAAAACAAAGATCATCTGTTTTGCCACAAGTTGTAAAAAAATAAAAAAACACCACTAGACAATGAATAAAAAACACTTTTAAATTACTTAAAAATGGCATGCAATCATTTTCATTCAATGGATGTTTTTCAAAACTTCATTCCTTTTAATATTTAAGGGAAAAAAATTCCCCTTAATTTCAAGTTCGTTCATACAGGTAATGAGAATTCACACCACATAAACATCTGCCATGTACAGATGGACACATAGATGAGAAACAGATTTTTAAAAATTCAGGTTATAACCTTTCCTAATTTGATAAGTCAAGTGTACTCCATGGAACCCTGCTGTGCATTGTAGAAGTAAAGATCACAAAACTTCCCTCACTGTATGCAGACACAGGTCCCTACCCCCACTAGTCAGATGCGACCTCCAGTAGTAACTCCCTATCCTAAGTGACAATAAAACCCTAAAGATTTACGAGTAAGTGTTCCTATTAAGACATGACTTTGATGCTACAAGCACATTATTAAGTCCATCTAATCCAAATTGCCACAGAGGTCTTTTAAAGCAATCACAATAATCTGGAAATATTCAACAACAAGAGTTATTCTTTTTCTCCAAGAAAAGGTTAAAGCATTAGTCATCTCTACTTTTCAAGCTACCTGAAATGGAATAATAAACATTTAAAAAATCATAATAAAAAGGAAAACTCCCTCCAATAAGGATCTGCAAGAGGTAGAAATTTAAAGCAGTATACACTGTTTAAGCTCCATCAACCAGGGAACAAAATGGTGTTAATCCGAAATTACATTAATGTCTGCTGCTTACAATATTGAAGACACAGACCATGGGTAGTAATTTAGCCCTAAATTTCATATTCAAAATTTCCATATATTAATATCATTATGATAGTTTTCACTACTATATAATTGTTTTAACAAAAAAGTACTTGTTTTCATAATCCCGATAATCTAAAGACATTATTGGAAAAACCACACTGACAAACTCTATATCCATTTAGCTTATAATTATACATTTTAAATGGGCAGATTTTATTCTTATTTCCTCAGGTTCATAATATTACCTTTAAAAAAGCTTCTGTGCCTCACTTACAATATTGAGATCTCATACATTTCAAAGTGTTCCATTATGAGTATGTGTTCATCAAGTGTTCAGTTTAGTGTGTCTCAAAGTCTTAATTTCTCAGTTACCTGAATGCATCTTACTGAACTGTAATGCTATTAAATTTAGCATCATCTCATGTTACTTAGAGGTTAAGGAGTGAGAGTGACTGCAAATGGACACAAGTCTTCTTTATAGGGAATGAAAAAGTTCAAATAAGACTGTAATGAGAACTGTACAACCACAGATTTACAAAAAGGTCATTGAATTATACACTTAAAAATGATGAATTTTATGATATACAAATTACATCTCAAAAAGTTTCTCCTCAAAAGCATAATTCAATTATCTAACAGGGAGAATTCTTGGCATAAAATAATATTCTGATTAGTGTATATAAATAAAGTTTGGAATTCTCTAGAACAAAAAATAACAATCATTATCTGGCAATTATATATGTGTATATTATAGAATATTTTACTTGTTGTTTAAATGTTTTATATATTTTCTGCACTGAATGTGTGACATTCGTAAAACAAAAACGGTATTTTAATTAAAATAATGAGTGATTCATTAAATAACCCTGCAGTATGTGATGTGGGAAAAGTCAGGTAGACAGTTCATGAGCTGGAGACCACACCTCCCCCACACCCATGCAGCACTGTCAACACACCTGTCAATCCAATGACCCCACCCCAGGATGTACCTTCTCTTACCTGGGATCTGGGGGTAGTACTCTGTAACCACTCCTCTTTTCAAAACTCATAAAAAAAACCTTATAAATGGAGGGGGCTCTCTCTCCCTCTCTCTCTCTGTCCCTTCATGGCCCATGGCAAGCAGGGTATGGAAGTCCCTCTTTACGATTCCTGGCCCACTCTCCCTAAACAAAGCCCTCATACCCTTGTGTATTCATCTCACTCCACAGATAAACCTTATCACACTGCACACAGTGTCTGTGCCTGTACTTAAAATTCTTCTCTAAGTAAAAGGCAAGATGCTGGAAGAGGAAATTTAGCCCTATCCTAGTCCACAAAACATGGAAGGCCTTTTAAAATAAGACAGACAAAATGCAAGTCTAAAGCACCCTGCTAAGTTTTCCATATAAAATATGTTGTGTCCTTTTCCAATTAGGATTGGTGATAACCCAGGCTGTTGACCTAAGCCAGGACTGGCCCTCACATTTTCACTTTCACCTGAATATTATTTAGAAACAGGTTTGAGCCAAATTTGAGAAATCAAGGTAAGTACTATTTTAATAGCTTAACTTTTATTTCCTTTAGCACACAGCCACAAACAATATCAGACCCCCATGAGAACCACGAACAAGAACTGAGAGAGGCTGCCTGTCATGGATAGAGTCTGTCCCATTCCCTTTGGGGCTATTCTGACTTCAAGCCCTGCTGTATCTTCTGATACTTCAATTTCATACCTAGGAGAGTCCAGTTCTGGGGTGCTTCTTCCATACAAAAACACTTAACTAGAATCCAACACCACTGTGTTGTCAACACTGTTGTGTTTTGTTGCTTACTATTTATGCTGAAGTATTCTTTTGTGGAAATATTATTTTCCTTTTGTAATAGTGATAAAATGCATCCTAATTAGAAAAAAAGCCCTGTGTGATTTCACTGGTTTCAAACTTGCTTTCAGTCTTGTTTCATACATAGAAATGCTAAATTTTTATGATTGTACTGTACGTGCTTAAAAGTCACCTTTCTTACTACTACAAACTATGGAATATGTAGTTAAAATGGTCTGCTATACAAATCATCTGTGTCCTTACTGACACTTCATCTGAACATTATATTCACTCTTGAGCAGAATGTAAAAATTTCCCATTCTGCTTGTGTACTGTTTTCCTCACCAACTTTTGTCATTTTTTCTTTGTATATTTTGCAGCCAATAATATGAGATACATACATTTTACATTTTTAGGTACATTGTTACATCAAGGATTTAGCTTCTCCAAAACTGATTTTATTTTTCTGAATTGAGCTGAGATAAAATGGAGTCCTATGGTGATGTAATCATGCCACAGGGAAGGCATGAGCTTCTGTTTGGCAGATGATTGAGGGTATACGAATTCTGTGAACTCGAAATCCAGTATACATTTGAGATTACCTACCAAAATCTCAATCTCAAGGAAAGCCAGGATATTTCTTGTCCAGCACTGTTTTATGGGTACCTCTTAGAATTCCAATCAAATCCTACAGGTTTTACTAGGAATCAACCCTACTGGGAGATACTGCACTCACTTGGTTTTTTTGCAATGCCAAATACTTCTCTTATTTTAAACATTTATTAATTATTTTTAGTTGAAAGTCAGATTTACATAGAGAGAGAAGGAGATGCAGAGAGAGAGAGAGAGGTCTTCCATCCACGGGTTCACTTCCCAATTGGCTGCAACAGCCAGAGCTGTGCCAAATAAAGCCAGGAGCCAAGCACAAACTCTGGGTTTCCCACGCAGGTGCAGGGACCCAAGGACTTGGACCATCTTCTACTGCTTTCCCAGGCCATATCAGAGAGCTGGACAGGAAAGTGGAGCAGCTCGGTCTTGAACTGGCACCCATGTGTGATGCCAGCACTGCAGGCGGTGGTGGTTTAACCCACTACACCACAACACCAGCCCGCAAATATTTCTCAATCTACTTACTGACTTTATGTTTTCAAGGCAAAGGCAAAAATGGAAAAACAAGCTTCACGTCTTTCTCCAAAGTGAGGTACTTTACAATTTGTGTGGGTGAGTATGTGACACAGTGGTTAAGCTGCTACTATGAATGTCTATCTCCTATATCACAGTGTTGGTTCATATGCCAGATACTCTGTTTCTGACCCAGCTTCACACTAACTGCAAGCCCTGGAAGGTTGTGGTCCTGACACAAGACTCACATACTTGTGTTCTGCCATCTCTGTGGGAAACTCCAGGCTCCTGGCCTTGTCCTCTATCAGCCCAGTTATTGCAGGCATCTTGGCAGTGAACCATCAGATGGAGGAGCTCTCTCTTTCTCTCTCTTTTCTTTGAAGTATGCACATGTGCTCTGCAGATCACATAAGTAAAAATAAGCACTAAAATGTTTTCATAATCATAATAAAGATCTCACAAATGTATGGATATCAAAAATTTCTGAACCAAATTAAAGCTATTTCTTAATTACATCTTTCACATACTACTGAAATACATTCAAGCAACAGGCACAACCTTAGAGTCTCAGGATCTTATATTCAATCGCTCTTTAATATTTTGATTTACATGTCGCATATTTTAATAAAAAATTATGGCTGGAATCAGTCATTCCACATCCCTCTGCCCATTTTAATGGAAAGAAGATGTCAAGCATCTATTGACCAATTTTGATATTTTTCAAGATTGATTTCCTTATTTGAAAGGCAGAGAAACAGAGAGAAAGAGGCAGAGAGAAAAAGCGAGAGAGAGAGAGAGAAAGCGAGCGAGTGAGAGAGAGAGAGAGAAAAAAAGTTTTCCATCTGCTGGTTCACTCCCAGACAGCCGCCATGAGCCAGGAGCCAGGAGTTTCTTCCAGGTATCCCACATGGGTTCAGGTGCCAAAGTACTCTGTCCATCTTCTACTGCTTTCCTGGGCCACAGCAGAGAACTGGATTGGGTGTGCAGCAGCCAGGACTCGGACTAGTATCTATATGGTATGCCAGCACTGCAGGCAGCAGCTTTACCTGCTAAGCCACAGTGCTGGCCCCCAATTTTGATATTTTGATTTATATAAACCTGAAGATAGTTTGCACTACAAGAACCAGACTGGGTGACTAGGGCATAATATGCAGTATCACTCTTGCATTCTCTGTGGGAAATGCAGGTGTCCCTTCTGTGTCCTGCAGCTCTAGGACTGTGCCTTTTGGTGCTAGAATTCCTGGAGAAACTCATACGCACTGGTGGGATCTGAAGGCCCCAGTGTGAATTCCTCCAATTCAGGCCAGCACCTGCCAGTCCACAATCTCTAACATAACTCATAATCTCTTGTGAGACCTACATAAAAACTCTTGGGCATTCTGTAGCACTCTGACTGGGACTTTTGGTTTCTTAAGTTCCAGCAATACCTGTTATCCCCCATAATGCCTAGGGAAGGACCTAACAGCATGACACTAATCCAGGCCTGGATCTTCTAGGGCACAAAACCTAGTATAACTTGAAACCACAATGTGGGAGCTGCATAAGTAGCCCTCTGATTCCTGTAGTTCTGGTACTGTGCGGTGTTAGTTATAGTCCCAGACTGACATGAGTCCCACCTCAAGGAATCTGGTGAGAATCTTGCAACTCAGAGTCTGTGACTGTCCCATAAGTCTCAGGGACAAGTGTACTTGTCTCCCATGGCCTGGGAAAGGTTCTATCTGCTAATCCATGCTGCTAATTCTGGCTCGTACCTGCTAGTACATACTGAGACTTGAGTAGGGTAACATTGAGTCTTACAGTCTTACATTGAGCCATATTCCAGAGTCACCTGTGTCCATCTGGTGAAAACTGGAGAAGATACCACCTGCATTCAAGTGTTCTACATCCATACTTGCCAGTGCTCATAATCCAGCATAACCTGTGCATGAAAGATGAGACCTGGGGAAGAACAGTACTGCATCCTGAAAGATTGGGACTGAAACTCTTGGTTCTAAAGGTCTCAGAACACAAGTGTCTTCCCTATGGGATTGGGGAAGATCCTTTGTGCCTTCCGGTAGTTCAGGTTCATGGGTGCCCATGCAGAAATCTCAGCACTATGTTGTGGGACCTAGTAAAATAAACAACTCTTGCTTCCCTTCAGGTCCAGAACTGTGATAATTTGTACTCTATCCCCCAGAGTTAGTTACCTGAAACTGTCATGTGAGACCAAGAAAAGACCCTACTACTTGCCTTCTAATGTTCCAGACACCTACCTCTCAGAGCACAATCACCAATAGAACTGTATTTACTCTGTGAGGATTGGGCAATTTCTCCTTCATATTCCCTAGTGCTGGCACTAGGATTTTTGTGCTACGAACATGAGCATCAACAATGCCCATACAAAAGAAACTGTGGATGGTCATAGGGACATACACAGAATGAGGTAACAAGTACTGGTGCCAAAAGCCCCAGCAGCACTCAGGCCTGCCCAAAAGGAAAAAAGGACAACCTCCTCTCTGCCCACAGTACCAGGAATGTGGCTACTTCCATCCCATACCCCAAAGTGACTGACATCAACTCCCCACGATCTGCAGAAATTCACCATTGGAAACACACATACACTTCAAAGTTATATTACTACCTCCATGAACTTCTGCAGGCTAGACAATTATGGCATTCATAGACACTGCTGATATTCAAAACAACATAAGAAATCATTCAGAGGTTTCATTTCTGAGCTCACTAGAAACAAGGCCAAAGCAACAACCAAATTACACCTGCATTCAATCTAAACAAAATTATTTTCCAATGAGAGTTACTCCACAAAGATCAAGTGTTATATAAGATGCACAGATAGCAACATGAGGACAGAGGAAATACTGAATGGACAAGGAAGCATGAAACCTCCAATGGAGCACACAATAGTTTTCCAGAAATAGATCATGATTTTAAGAGAATCTATGAAATACCTGAAAAACAATTCAAAACAGTGATCCTAAGGAAACTCAATGAGATGCAAGAGCACATTGACAGTTAAAATAAATGAGAAAAACAATGCACACTGTGAATAAGAAAAACAACACAAATCAAGAAATCACTGGGGACTGGCACTGTGGTGGAGTGAGTAAGTTGTTGCCTGTAATGCTGGAATCACATGTGGGTGCAAGTTTGATTCCCAGCAGCCCTACTTCCTATCCAGAAAACTAGTAATTAAGCAAATACTCATGTTACAGTAATACCCGAAGGAAAAGTAGGAAAGGGGCACCCATCTGGGTGCCAGCTCGAGTTCTGGCTGCTCCACTTCCAATCCAGCTCTCTGCTATGGCCTGGGAAAGCACTAGAAGATGGACCCCTGCATCCACGGAGGAAGCTCCTGGCTTCTGGGTTGGAGGGGCCCAGCCTTGGCTGTTTTTGGAGAGTGAACCAAGAGATTAAAGGTGACACACACCTCTCCCCCCTCCCTTTGCCTCTGCCTCTCTGTGACTCTGCCATTCAAATACATACATAAAGGGCTGATGCCATGGCTCACTTTGTTAATCCTCCACCTGTGGTGCTAGTATCCCATATGGGCACCAGGTTCTAGTCCCAGTTTCTCCTCTTCCAGTCCAGCTCTCTGCCGTGGCCTGGGAAGGCAGTGGAGGATGGCTCAGGTGCTTGGGCCCCTGAACCCACATGTGAGACCAGGAGGAGGCACCTGGCTCCTAGCTTTAGATTGGCGTACCACCATCCATGGTGGCCATTTTGGGGGTGAACCAACGGAAGGAAGACTTTCTTTCTGTCTCTCTCTCTCACTTGTCTAACTCTATCTGTCAAATAACTAACTTAACTAACTAAAAACAAATACATACATAAATCTTTAAAAAAAACTGTTGAGAAATATATTATGATGAAATTGTCAACTTAAGGATAAGGAGAATATCCATAAGACAGAGAAAAGTCTCAAGTTACACACACAAGAAAACAACTGGACACACAGCAGATGTCTCAGCAGATGTCATAGAGACCAGAAGAGAAAAAGATGAAAAAAAATCAAATACTTGAAAGAAAATATTTCCAACCAGGTCTATTACATCCAGTGAAACAATGCTTTGGAAGTGAAAGAGAAAGTTTTTCCCAGAGGAGAAAACCCTGAAAAAATTCACCACTGGACCAGTACTACAAGAAATCCTAAATGGACTCCTACATTAGAAATAACCTTCATGAAAACATACAAGAGAACTAAATTCACTAATAGATGTACAAAATAAGAAAAAAGAGGATTCAACCTTATAAAGCAAGACTACCAATATACTAAATAATAAAAATAATAGAGGCAGAAATTGAGAAATAAAGCAATCACTAATCAATTGAAAAAATGGCAGGACTTTCTTTTTTAAACTTTTTTTTGGACAGGCAGAGTGGACAGTGAGAGAGAGAGAGATAGAGAGAAAGGTCTTCCTTTGCCATTGGTTTACCCCCCAGTGGCCACTGCGGCCGGCACGCTGTGGCCAGTGCACCGCGCTGATCCAAAGCCAGGAGCCAGGTGCCTCTCCTGGTCTCCCATGCGGGTACAGGGCCCAAGCACCTAGACCATCCTCCACTGCACTCCCGGGCCACAGCAGAGAGCTGTCCTGGAAGAGGGGCAAACAGGACAGAATCCAGTGCCCCGACCGGGACTAGAACCTGGTATGACGGCGTCTCACGCGGAGGATTAGCCTATTGAGCTGCTGCGCTGGCCAGGACTTACTTTTTATCTATCAATATCTAGCTTGGATATTAATGATTTAAATTCTACAGTAAAAAGAAAAAGTTTGGTCAAGTAACTTTTTAAAAAGTATGACCCAACTTTATATTCCTACAAGAAACTTACTTCACAGGTAAAGTTACACAAAGACAGAAACTGACTAATGAGAAAAAGATTTACGATACAAGTAGAAAACACAAACTGTAATAGTATACTCATATCATAGTATACTCATATCAGACAAAGGACTTTACATCAATATCTGTAAAACAAATACAAAGGACATTATATATTGACAAGAGACCCAATTCAGCAAGAAGACACAACAGTCTTAAAAATGCATACACCTAACACAGTAACATCCAAATATATCAAGCAAATATTATTTTAACAAAAGAAACAGACTCCACTACAGCACAGTGGGGGACTTTAATTGTTAACAATGGACAGAATATCTCGGCAGAACATCAATGAAGATCCAAAAGAGTTAAAACATACCATACAGCAAATGATCCTAATGATCCTATTAAATAGTTGCACATTCTTCTCACCAAATCATGGAACACTTTCCAGGACAGACCATATATTAGACAAATCTAGTATCAATAAAGTTTAAAAACTGAAATCATACCATGACTGTTCTCTAACAAGACAGGAAAAAACTGGAAATCAACAAAAATGAAAGAAAATATCCAAATATATGGAAATTGAACAACATACTCCTAAATGTCCCATGGGTCACTGAAGAAATTCAAAAGCAAATCAAAAGGACAAGAGCAGAAGTAAATCAAATTGAAACTTTTTAAAAGTATAAAATAAACAAGAAAATAAAAAATTGTTTTAAAAATTAAATAAGAAAACTTTAAAATTGACAAAGCAAAAGGGAGAAAAAATACAATGGATGCCACAGGAATACAAATGTTGGCAAGGAAGTGAACTGTCCAAGTATATTGTAAAAAATTAGAAATCTTGAAGAAATGCATAAACTGGATTCACACTCCCTATCAAGAATAAATCAAGCTGGCGCCGCGGCTCACTAGGCTAATCCTCTGCCTTGCGGCGCCGGCACACTGGGTTCTAGTCCCATTTGGGGTGCTGGATTCTGTCCCGGTTGTCCCTCTTCCAGGTCAGCTCTCTGCTGTGGCCAGGGAGTGCAGTGGAGGATGGCCCAAATGCTTGGGCCCTGCACCCCAGTGGAGACCAGGAGTACCTGGCTCCTGCCATCAGATCAGCACGGCCACTGGAGGGTGAACCAACGGCAAAGGAAGACCTTTCTCTCTGTCTCTCTCTCTCTCACTCTCCACTCTGCCTACTAAAAAAAATAAATAAATCAAATACACAGTATACCTAAACAGACCAACAACAAGTAATGATTTTCAAGCAGTAATTAAAATCCTCCCATCAAATAAAAGTCTAGGACTTGATGGCTTTACAAATGAATTACACAAAACATTTAATGAGGAGCCAATTCCATCAAACACAGAATCTTCTGTACAGCAAAGAAAACCTAATAGAGTGCAGAGACAACCAATAGAGAGGGAAAAAACATTTGCAAGCTACTAACCCAACAAAGGATTAAAATTCAGATTATATCAGGAACTCAACAAACTCAACAGCAAGCATCCAATCCAGTTAAAAAATGGGCAAGGAACCATAAAAGACAGGTCTCAAAAGAAAAAAAATGCAAAATGACATATATATGATCCTATTAGTAGTCATCAGAGAAATGCAATCTGAGAGAACTGGATAGAGTTCTTGGCTTCCAACTTTGGCCTAGCCCTTCCATAATGTTTGCAGGCTCTGGGGGTGAGGCCAACAGATGAAAACATCTTTCTCTATCTCACACTGCCATTCTAATAAATTAGAATTTAAAGGCATCAATACATTGTATTTGGCATGGCAACTAAAGACATCATTTTGGTGCCAGCATCCAGTTACAGAGTATCTAGGATCAATACCTGGGCGTGAATTCAAATCCAGGTTCCTGCTTATGCATACCCTGGGAAACAACAGAGGATGGCTCAGATATTTGGGCCCTTGCCACTCAAGTGGAGTGATCCAGCCAATGGGAAATTTGTTTTCTTGTCATTCAAAGAAACATAATGAACAATGCTTAAGTAAGTGAATAAATAATTCCACTGGGGCCAAGGTAGCTTGTTTGGGACTGTGCTGGGGCAGCTTTGACAT